AGACTTCATAACTATTAAAACTACCATACCAGAGAGACTAAAGGGTTAAAATGACCTTCAAGTTAAAATGAAAAGACACTAGACAGAACTCAAAATCATATGCAGAAATAAAGAATAAGAGAAAAGTTAACCACATAGGTAAAGATAAAATCCTTTAGAAGACTCAGCAGTGGCCACAGGACTGGAAAAGGTCAGTTTTTATTCCAATATCAAAGAAAGGCAATGTCAAACAATGTTCCAACTATCATACAGTTGCACACATTTCACATGCTAGTAAAGCAACACCAAAATCCTTCGAGCTAGGTTCAACCATCCGTCACCCCAAAAATTCCAGATGTGCAAGTTAGATTTAGACAAGGCAGAGAAACCAGAGGAGAAATTGCCAACATCCATTGGATCACAGAAAAAGCAAGGGAATTAAAAAAAAAATCTACTTCTGCTTCAATGACTACACTAAAGCTTTTGACTGTGTGGATCATAACAAACTGTGGAAAATTCTTTAAGAGATAGGAATACCAGACCACCTTACCTATCTCCTGAGAAACCTTGTATGCAGTACAAGAAGCAAAAGTTAGAACCAGACATGGAACAACAGATTGCTTCAAAAATGGGTAACAAGTATCACAAAGCTGCATATTGTCCCACTGCTTATTTAAATTATATGCAGAGTACATCATGCGAAATGCTGAGCTGGATGACACACAAGCTGGAATCAAGATTGCAGGGAGAAATATCAACAACCTCAGGTATGCAGATGATATTACCTTAATGACAAAAAGCAAGAGGAACTAAGAGACTCTTGATGAGGGTGAAAGAAGAGAGTGAAAGAGCGGGCTTGAAACTCAACATTAAAAAAAAAAAAAAAAACCGATCATGGCATCCGGTCCTATCACTTCATGGCAAATAGATGGGGGAAAGTTGGAAACAGTGATAGATTTTATTTTCTTGGGCTTCAAAGTCACCATGGACAGTTACTGCAGTCATGATTAAGAGTCGCTTGCTCACTGGAAGGAAAACTAAACAAACCTAGACAGCATATATAAAAGGTAGAGTATCACTTTGCTGACCAAGGTTCATATTGTCAAAGCTATGGTTAACCCAGTAGTCACATACAGATGTGAGATTTGGACCATAACGAAGGCTAAGGGCCAAAGAATTGATGCTTTCAAACTATGGCACTAGAGAAGACTCGAGAGTCCCTTGAACTGCAAGGAAATCAAACCAGTCAATCCTAAAGGATATCAACCCTGAATATTCATTGGAAGGACTGATGCTGAAGTTGAAACTCCAATACTTTGGCCACCTAATACAAAGAACTGACTCATTGGAAAAGATCCTGATGCTGGGCAAGATTGAGGGCAAGAGGAGAAGGGCGTGACAGAGGATGAGATAAATGGATGGCATCACTGACTCAATGGACAGGAGTTTGAGCAAACTGCAGGAGATAGTGGAGGACAGGGAAGCCTGGGTTACTGCAGTCCATAGGGTCGCACATAGTCGAGCATGACTTAGTGACTGAACAACAAGAAGGATGTCTAAAATTTAGACACAGGAAAATAACAAGTGTTGTTGAGAATCTAGAGAAACTGGACGCCTTACGCACCATTGTTTTTGCTGTTCAGTCTTTTAAGTCATGTCCAACTCTGCAACCCCATGGATTGTAGCACACCAGGCTCCTCTGTCCTCCACTAGCTCCCGCAGTTTGCTCAAATTCAGGTCCACTGAGTTGGTGATGCTACACTGGGGGAATTTAAAATCAAACAGTGGATGTTGAAAACGGTCTGGAGCTTCCTCCAAAGCTTCAACATAGGATTACTGCCAGATGTAGTGATTCCACTCTTAGAAATAAAACACCCTCCCCCCCAAAAAAGAAAAAAAAAAAAAACTTTTAAAGCAGGCATTAGGAAAACCCAGGGACTATGTATTCATAGTAGCATTATTCAAAACAGCCAAAGGGGGAAACAACCCAATTTTCAGGGGACAGAAGAAGGGATAATTGTAAGGTGAACTCTCCATGAAATGGAAGAATATGCAGACAAGGAAAGGAATGTTACAACATGAATCAGTTGGGAAATCACCATTGAAGTGAAATGAGCCACACACAAAAGGACAGATATGGTGTGATTCCATTGAAAGGAGATGTCCCAAAAAAGCCAGTCCATCAAGACTGAAAGCCGATTATTAGCCCTTGACCGGAGATGAGGGTGGGGATGGAGGAGGTGGGAATCAGGAGTGACTTCTTAATGGGTAAAAGATGTCCTTTACGACTTATGGGAACATGTCATAAGAAGATACAGGGGGTGGCTTCCCAAGCTTGTGAATTGGCTTAATGTCACTGAGTGGAACTATGGTCATGGCATCCAATCCCATCACTTTTGGCAGATAAATGAGGGGGAAAAAATGGAAACAGCAACAGACTTTAGTTTATTGGGCTCCAAAATCACTGCAGACAGTGACTGCAGCCATGAAATTAAAAGACACTTGCTCCTTGGAAGAAAAGCTATGACCAAACTTGATAACATATTAAAAAGCAGAGACATCACTTTGCCGACAAAGGCCCATCTAGTCAAAGCTATGATTTCTCCAGTAGTCATGTACAAATGTGAAAGCTGGACCATAAAGAGGGATGAGCACAAAAGAATTGATGCTTTTGAATTTCAGTGCTGGAGAAGACTCTTTAGAGTCCCTTGGACAGCTAGGAGATCAACCCAGTCAATCCTAAAGGAAATCAACCCTGAGTAGTCATTGGAAGAACTGATGCTGAAGCTGAAGCTCCAATACTTTGGCCACCTAATGCGAAGAGTCAATTCACTGGAAAAGACCCTGCTGCTCGGAAAGATCGAGGGCAGGAGGAGAAGAGGGTGACAGAGGATGAGCTGGTAGGATGGTATCATCAACTCAATGGGCATGAGTTTGAGCAAGCTCTGGGAGACAGTGAAGGACAGGGAAGACTGGCATGCTTCCATCATGGGGTCGCAAAGAGTTGAACATGACTGATCGACTGAACGACAAGAACTGAGCAAAAATCTTTATAAAATGGCAAGCTAAGCAGTCTGAGAATATCATTAATTTTTTTTTTTTTTTGGTTGAACTATAACACTTTTCACACCACGGTTAATAAAATCCTTAAGTATTTTGGGGAATGGGAATAAGAAATCCACTGTAAAAAGAAAAAAGAAAAAAAAATTAATAATTAAAAAAAAAAAAGAAATCCACTGTATAACGTATGCACTGAAGTAAAAAAGCAATATTAACCTTATTGTGATGCACATGTTATACAGGAAAAATAGTGCACTTTTATTTAAAAGTAAAAAAAAAATAGAATTGAAAAGCATGGCATTGTCTTACATTTTCAAAAATGTATTTTATGTGTACCTAAAGAGGAAAAGGTTGAGTTTTCTTTCCTGAATTTCGTCCCACCTGTAACAACCTGTTGTTTCTGTGGAAGGGAACCAAGTGAACTGGGTACACGGATACTGAGTAGGGAAATGGAAGACCTCAATGGTCCCCAGTCAAGTTGTCAGGGACTGTTTTGCCTCTCCCACCTCTCTATCTCAGCTCAGGGTTCCCAAAATGACCACTGGCAAGTGCTTAAGTCCAGTATTCTTTCAGGATGTTTAATCATCCCCTTGACAGCAGAAACACTGCTAATTGATCTGAACTGCCCCCAGCACCCACAAACGGCCAAAAGAAAATGGAGTGTTGTAGGGAACAGACAATTTAGGATACAAGTTGAGAGTCACATAACTGAGAAGTGCCCAAGCTGAGACTCAAACCCATACCTGTCTTTCAGAAAGTCCCTCTGACTTGAAACCACCAGCCAGCAATGCAACCTGCTACTAGTGAAGGACGGGGTAGCCTGGAGTGCTGCAGTCCATGGGGTTGCAAAGAGTCAGACGAGACTTAGCAACTGAACAACAACATAAATAGTCTGGATGGCAGGTCCTGGTAAGTCCTTCCCCTTCCTCCACACTAAGAAGCTGCCGAAAGCCTTCATCTGGTTGGTACACAGTGATACAAAAGTCGGTTGGCTTTCCTCTTGTGAGTGGCATGTGGAGCAGCATGGCTTTGTCTTACTCTAGGGTCCCGGGATCAGAGCTGTCCGGGGGCTGTCGCTAACTAAGGGTCACCTCAGGAGAGATGATTTGGAGCATCCCTGTTTCTTACTCGCCTCCCCCTGACATCCAGGTGTGTTATCCTCACACTTTTCCCCCATGCGTGTCTTTTCCAGTTGACCCTGAGTCCTTGGATCACACTTGCACAAACGTCCCTGGCTTCGTGTATCATGGTTCATTGAAAGGAGTATTAATATAAAATGCATTTTGATCAATGGTAAGGGCAGGTGTCATTTAATAGTGTATCAGCAACAATTAAGTGCCATTTTAATGTCTTTGTGGAAATGGCAATTCACAAGCCCATATCTCAGCATGGATATTTATATACCTAGGCCTGTCCTCTTAATGATTTTTAGCGGCTCAATTTATTCACAAACAGAATCTCAAGTGCTTTTAATAATTTTTCTAAGGCAATGGAGTAGATTTTCCTTTGAAATCATCTTCCCCCACTGGAATTGGCTCTGTAAACCAATGAGTAAATACAAAGGGGATTCACAGTTGAAATAGATTTTATGTCCTTCAGTTTTCCTTTTCCTTAAGGATGAACACCATAACTCTCCACACTGGTGCTTTCCATTTTCTAGGACTGGTACAGAACTGCTGAGGCCAAAACTTAAAATGAAGACAATTTATTACCAAAAGTTAATTGACAGTGTTAGGGAGAAAACATCTCCATTTGCTACCCAAAGGGTGGAAAGCTTGATCCCTGTACCTGTGAAATTGCTGCTACCCACGTAACTGTTTAGGATTCATTTAGTGGTTGACAGAAAAGGATTCTTACGCTTAACAAATGATAAGCAAGATGTACTGACTGCAACTAGAAAATTTTAGCCTATGGCAATGTATAGGTTTGATGGAGCTAATATTATGTTTCTATCATATAACTTAGGTTCCAGTTCTGTCTTCAGCATCGTCAGAGAGCAGGTATTGAAGAGACTTCCGAATAGTTGCCAGCTCTTGCTGTTGCTGATTCCAAAAAGGAAAGAAATATTAAACATTTGAATATTATTTAGATAATTGTTACATACAGTTCATAAAAAAAATACCCCAATGTTCACGTCCCTCCATAGTTCTCATTATTAAACATGCACTACTTACAGCATCCATCACAATTTTGTTTTGCAGCATGGCCATTTCTCGTCTAACTCCACTTTGTTCATCACTCAGAAGATGTTCATGTTCCTTCTGAAACTCCTCCATACTCTAAAACAGAAGGCCTAGTCCAGTGACAAAGCACCACTTTTCATTTCACTTTCTAAACACATACAATTAAATTTCAAAGTAACAACACTTAACAGTCAAAGGATGCTCATTATTTATTTCAAAAATATTGTAACTAAAACATGGAGATTGAAACACCCACTTAAGAAATCCTTCAAATGTTGTATCTGAGTCAAAGATCATTATCATCACACTTTGCTCAAAACAATGAGTTCCTGAACAGCTAAGGTCAAGGTGGACCAAAAAGAAGAAGGAGGAGGCAAAGGAGGAGGAAGGAGAAGAGGAGGAAGAAGAAAGAAAATCACTGACAGTCTCATATCATGAAATTACATAGTTTAAAAACTCTCTGACAAGCTTTCTAAGCACCAGGTAACAATGCACCTATAATGACCAATAATCAATGCAGCATGGCTCCATTAGAGGGAAAAGATGATCTGTCATAGGAACTCATTAAGGTATGAAAAACAAACATGTTCTAAACTTTTACTCTTCATTCAACCAATAGGAATCTGGTGCATCCTATATAAAAAGCATTCTGTTAAGTGCCCTGGAGGAATTAGAAAATGAGTACATAATCTCTTCCTTATTCCAGTGAGAATTAAAAACATGTAAACAGAAAGCAACACAAAAACAGTATAACAATTCAGGAAGCACATTTTGCTGTGGCTATGTAGTGGAAAATAGGATGGTTTCTGATATTGTTGGCAAAAGAATAAGATGTCAATAGGTAAAAGAAGGGAATCAAGCCTACTGCCGGGGAGGAGACTATGCAAAGCAAGGAGGTAATGGTGACTTAGTGCAGAGAAAGCAACCAATCTGGACAGGTGGGAGGAGACAAAGAATGTATGCAGGAAATCACAAAGAGAGGGGGGGGGGTCTTGATATGGGGGACACATTGAACGCCTGAGACTTCAAACTGGGAAGACATTATGATACGTTTTCAGGAGAGAAGGGATACTTTTGGAGGATCATATTGCAGAAGTGTGAAGGATGGATTGGAGAGGAGAGAAGTCAGGCAAGAGTTTAATAGAACAAGCAAGGGACAATGAGGCCCTGAACCAGGTAGGGCAGCAGCAGTGGGAATTCAAAGGAAGAAATTAAAGTACAGTTGCAGAGGTGAAAATTGCAGGGCCAAGTAATAGCTGGGTGGGAAGGACAAGGTACTTAGGGGAGTCAAAGACAACACTGAAGTCACCAACCTGATATCTTCTTTGGTACTTTATCAAATCTTCACATCAATTAATAGTCAATTATCAGGGAGCATTAGAATAACACATTTGTCCACTTGGAGACACTTCTACAGTAACGCTTTTGCACTAAATGATTCTAAAGTTCTTTAAGGGATTTTTTTTTTTTTAACTCTTTTACTAGTTTACTTAAGATAGTTTAAGAAGAGTGACATATTAATATGTATTTGAGCAAGGTAATGAAATGGAACATCCCATCAAAATAAGAAGGGGTGTATATCTGGGATTCCATTGCCTCCTGAATAAGTATGCATCTGTATGAAGCAGAGAACAGCGTCATGAAGACAATCTGCTAGTGGGAGAATGGCATGGTAGATGATTCTCAATTCACAAGCTTTTTGTCCTCCTCTGGCTTTTTCACACTGCTATGCATTCCAGGCTTCCTCCTGTGACTACGCATTTGCATATAAAGGCATTTTTAGTCACTGTAGCAATTCTGCATTGTCAAGTAATTATCTTCCAATACATTAAAAACTAAAAGCAAATATGTCAAAGAACACTCACATAATATATTTGAAAATAAAAGAGATATTCAGAAAGTACAATTGCTACTTACTATTTTATACACACCACTGAAGTAAACAGAAGTAAAAGACATTAGGACTTAATCACTGACTTCCTACTTTCCTGATAGTTGTCACTGATCTCCCAAAAAACTGACTGCTGAATATAAAATTAGGATTAAAGTATCGATTTTAATCACGATTTTAATCACGTCTCTTTCTAGGTTATATTCCCAATGTACCATTTCCTATTTTAAGTAATATCACAAAGCTAATAACAAATCCTAGAAATAAAAATTAATTAATTAAAAACAAATAAAAATAGAAATAAATTTAGCATTCGTGTTCACCCAAAATCAATTGCTCCAAATGGAAAATGCAGAAGAATTTAAAACGTTATCACCAAAATACTGTTACCAAAACTACAAAAGAATCTAACTTCTACTTCAAAATAGACATTATGTTTTATAAGAATGAACTGCATTACCAAAAACAACAGACCTTTAAGAACTGGTCGTATAAGTTAAAAAATTTTTTCAGCCTCTGTCTCTGAACAATTCTTGCTGCTTGAAAAATCTTTTGTTGCTCACGAAGCAAATTCTACAAGTAGAAAAGAAAAGACGTTGAGATAAAATGTGGTTAATTTAATATTTAGCAACGTGTAATTCTACAGGACATTAAAAGGATTGTTCTTTAAATCAATATTTTTAGCATTTTTTGTGCTAAATTTTAAAACAAAGCTTAGACGTTTGTGCTTCCACCAATATACAAACAAATGAAATGATACTATTCATCGATCATTGAGAAGGCTCTTTCTTTCTTGTTTAACGTATTTTGTTGAGGTAAAATTGGTTTACAGCATTGAAGGTAATCATTTGTATGGTGATAGATGGAAAAAAAAAATCTTTCCTGGTGAGGATGCTGTGGTGCATACGGAAGCAGAAATACAATGCTCTACACAGGAAATGTCCTTCTTTGCCCATATTCAAAACATCCATCTTAATTCTTGGTAGCTACAAAATTTATAAACAGTTTTCACCGCCATCTCTTTATCAAAAATAAATGAAATCTATGCAATTATCCTATTTAACAGCAATTAAGAGAAAAATTCTTTCCTAACAACATTGAAACATGTAGTAATTCTTGGCCATTCAATATACAAGATGAACCTTTCAATAATGCAAAACTTTGAGTTCTTTGACCTGATCTCCAGAAACAATTCTGTCCTCTCCCCTAGTTTAGCCATTCACTTACATTTCCTTACCCTAGATTCTGTCACCAACAACTGCAAAATCTATATAAGAGGAAGAACCACAAACTCATATAGGAACTATCTGTCAGGCCCTGCTCTGAAAGATGTTAAGTGAACTTAACACTTAGGAACTCATCTGTGAAGGGGAGGACTGGAGGGGAGAAAGCAGGGTTGGGGGGAGGGAAGGCTGCACTGAGTGGATTGTGGGATCTCAGTTTCCCAACCAGGGATTGAACCCTGGCCAAGGCAGTGAAAGCCCTGAATCCTAACCACTAGACCACCAGGGAACTCCCTTAGGAACTCATCCTCAAGGCAAACCTATGATGTAGGTACTCTTATTACACCCCATTCATACATGAGGACACTGAGACCTGTCAGAGATACATAATCTGCCCATGGCTCCATAGCCAGTAATTGGACAAATCAGAATCGGATCCCAACATTATGGCTCCAGAGCCCAGGGTCTTGACCACTGTACTATATACTGTTTGCCCATTTTTCCCATCAGGTAACCTCTACCTCCCTATGTTGGCAGCTCACTCCCCTTTGTACTGTGTCTCAGTACCCTACCAGGACCTGATATCTACATTTGAATTGAACATTTTTCACTGCCCCCTTTCTCCACCCCCTGCCCTGTATCCTACTTCTGAGTTAAGGCCATGGTCATTCACTATACCTACACCCTTGCACTTACACCTTACCCCCTTTTCACTCTGTCAACATGCTTAGCTCACCCTAACCCTGGAAAATCCAACTCTCCAGCTGCTCAGCCACAACCACACAGACAAGTCTTATTTTAGATTCATGATCGCTATGACGCTCGTCTAAGTTGGACTGTCCTGCAGCTTGGCAATGGTACTTCCATGGTCCATCCACTGACCCACTGTGAGGAAACAATTCCAGGTTTTCTCCTCTGCCCTCAAAAGGCAACACCTCCTCCACCATCCTTACCCCTAACTGTGACAGAGGTCAGTCCGGTAAGAGTAAACCATGCCCTGACTGCAATGGCTGGTTATGGAATAGGCAAATGATCCAAACTAGATGAGTGACAGTCCTCCAAAAGAATTTCCTGCCAAGCCACAGAACAAGATTTTCTCGGTCCACTGGGGTTTGGGCTTCCCTGGAGGCTCAGATGGTAAAGAATCTGCCTGCAGTGCGGGAAACCTGGGCTCGATCCCTGGATTGGGAAGATTCTCTGGAGGAGGGCATGGCAACCCACTCCAGTATTCTTGCCTGGAGAATCCCCATGGACAGAAGAGCCTGGCAGACTGCAGTCCATGGGGTCACAAAGAAGTCAGACACGACTGAGAGACTAAGCACAGCACACTGGAGTTTACTAAGCTGACAGCACGTTTAGGATTGCAAGACTCTATCTTACAGACCTCATGGAAAAATCCTACTAGGAGATAGAGACAGAGCCCAAATGACCCTGCCTGAGAAACTTTAGATAAGGCCTGAAACTCTGCTTTTGTACTCTGGTAAATTTCCGACACTTGGAACTGCAAGAATCCAAACCAAGAGAGGGAGTAAAGACCAGGGGCTTTTGTGAGTGTGGTGTGTGCCTGTACTTCTCTGATTTTCTGTGATCCGGGTCCAACCACATAGGCAGCAGTGGGGCCCTGGTTCAGGTCTATGGGTCTAAGACATGACCAGGCTCTCCATTAAACTTGAGACTTGGTTACAAAGCATGCGTGCATGCTAAGTCGCTTCTGTCGTGTTCAACTCTTTGCAACCCTATGGGCTGTAGCCCGCCAGGCTCCTCTGTACATGGGATTCTCCAGGCAAGGATACTGGAGTGGGTTGCCATGACCTCCTCCAGGGAATCTTCCCGACCCAGGGATTGAACTCGTGCCTCTTAGGTCTCCTGCACTGGCAGGCAGGTTCTTTACCACTAGCGCCACCTCTTGAGAAGCCTCTTGGTTACAACAGATTAATTAGAAAGTTAAGCCTGATACCAACAGCTAGTTTTTCTTCTTCCTCCTTGGTTTCCTGCACGCTTATATCCCACTCCAGAAACAAAGTCAGAAACTGCTGAGAATATTCACGATAAAGCTTCTGCCTGTAAAACGTAATAATGAGTAATGTCATACTTCATATTGCTAAGAAAAAAGTAAACACATTCAAAACAAAACTGATTTGACACAAATTATACTATAAAGGGAGAACGGAATAATTGCAGCTGAAAATTTCCGATGGGAAATGGCAAAACAAAATGGATGATTTACTCTCATTCCCTCAGTATTTGTCCCCAACTGTCTAAGAGGGATGCGATCTCACATGCCTTAGCCCTTGAGAACTAAGGAAGATTTAATGCAGTATAAACTCCCCCCCAAATGCATTTTATCTATAAGTTTTTTTTTTTCATTTTCGCTTATTGAATAACATATAGGCTGTGACATGATAAAGAGATTCAATGAAGATATCATGTAAGTTTTCTAAACTGTTTCTAAAACAGTTTTCTAAACAAGTTTTCACTTCCCCCGCCCTCACCCTGTCACAATAAAGATTTTGCACAAAAGAACAGTGGACCCGATGATGATAAATTTTGAAATTATTCAAATATAAGATTAGCCCTTTCCACACAGTTGAATACAGCTAAGTATCACAAGGCACTTCTCTTTTATTCATCTAGCATATTCCAAGAACGAACATGATTTTTTCTTAAATACTAACAAAATTCAGCTATAATTTTAAAGCAGAAAATAGGTTACCGTTATCGACCTTTAGTAATACCTCTCTTTTCAATTAAGGTGTAAGGTTATAGAACTAAAGGAACTACTGATGTCAATAAAAATCAAACTGCATATATTTCTCAACAGAGACACCAATTAATAGAGGATAACAGCATTATTTTAATTAAGCTGGACTCACAAACACTAAGATATGACACCCAGGTCCTGGCTCTAAAAACCAACAATGTTTGTTACCTTTGCTCCTCCTGAGTTTTCCAAACATGCTCAATCATCAGGTTAATGCTTTGGACAGAAGCATTGGTGTTCATTATAAATCTTTTTCTCTTTGCATGAAGAAGCTTCTTAATGTCATCTATATCAAACAAATATATTTCCATTTAGTATTGATTCAGTAGTATTGGAAATACAATCACCATTTTTTAAAAGGCATCATGTCAAAACTCAAGTATGTATTTCCCTTTTTTCTGTATAATATTTCAGTTACTAGCACCTCAATTCTAATCTTTATAACTGGGGGCGGCCTTAAGATTGTGGAGGAATAGGATGGGGAGACCACTTTCTCCTCCACAAATTCATCGAAAGATTATTTGAACTTTGAGAAAATTTCACAAAACAACTTCTGAACGCTGGCAGAGGACACCAGGCACCCAGAAAGGCAGCCCATTGTCTTCAAAAGGAGGTAGGACAAAAGATAAAAGATAAAAAGAGAGGCAAAAGAGTTAGGGATGGAGTGCCATCCCAGAGAGAGAGTCATAAAAGAGAAGTTTCCAAACACCAGGAAACCCTCTCACCGGCAGGTCTGTGGGGCATTTTGGAATCTCAGAGGGCAACTTAACTGGGAGGAAAAATAAATAAATAAATAAAACCCACAGATTACATGCCTACTGGCAACTTCCAGTGGAGAAGCAGCCCAGTCGCTCACATCTGACACCAGCAAGTGGGGGCTGAACAGGGAGGCATGGGCTGCATTGCTTAGGGTAGGGACCGGGCCTGAATGACCTGAGGACAATCTGAGGAAGCTAAAGTGAGATAGCAACCCAAACAGAGGAATAGCCAGAGAAAGAGAAAAGGAGAGAGAGAGAGAGAGAACTTTCCCGTGAAAAGCGCTAACCTAAGGCACTGCTGGGCCCACTCACAGAACAAAGGACTGAGCGAATACCAGAGGAAAGCTAGCCTGCTGCAGACCAGCCCGTCCCCCACCAGAGCCAGAAAGGGGCAATCTTGGCCCCAGAGATGGCATCCTCTACCAAACTGTGAGCAGGCTCCCAGTTGCTAACCAAGTCTTCCTGGGATCCTAGAAGGTTGACATCCTACGGGAGGGTCACAGCCAGAGATCAGCTCCCCAGAAGAGACACACAGCACAGCTGAGATGGTGCTCCCACTGTGCACCCAGGAAACCAAGCAGCTGGGACAGGAGAGGTGATAAGATGTCCCACCCAGCTGGGGAGAGTGCACTCGCCAAGCTCCTGGTAGCCTGTGCTGCTCAGACCTGGGAAGGGCACAAAACGCACGTGCAAAGGAGTCTGCGCCTTTGTGGAGTACCTGAGAACCCGAACCTGAGCAGCTTAGACCTGGGAAGTGCACACAACCCAGGGCCCGCTTTAGACAGTTCCCCTGCAGAGCAACCTGGAACCTCAGCAGTGTAGACTGGGAAACCACACACGCCGTGAGCAGGGGCAAACCCAGTGTGGCTAGTGCTCCCCACACACGCCAGTGATATTTGTTTGCAGTGTTCCTCCCTCCCTGCAGCACGACTCAACAAGTGAGCCTAAATAAGTGACCACTACCGCCCCCTTGTGTCAGGGCAGAAATTAGACACTGAAGAGACTTGTAAACAGAAGCCAAAATAAACAGAGGGAACCGCTTTAGAAGTGACAGGTGGAACAGATTAAAACCCCGTAGTTAGCACTGACTACATTGGAAGGGGCCTATAGAACTTGAGAAGTATAAGCTGAAACAAGGAACTATCTGAAACTGAAGTGACCCCACAATGCCCACAACAGCTCCAGAGAAATTCCTAGATATATTTTTACTATTGTCATTTGTTTTATTTTTAATTTTTTAAAATTTTGAAGTCCTTTATTACTCCTTTAATTTTCATTTTTATAACCTACTATGACCTTGCCAAAAAAAGACCCTATTTTTAAAGCAAATTACATATATATTATTTTTATAATTTTTGTGATTTTTTGTTTTTTCAATATCACATTTTTGAAAGTCTAACTTCTACTCTAGATTTTTAATCTTTGCATTTTGGCATTTGTTATCAATTTTGTACCTTTAAGAATCCAATCTTCAGTGCCATTTTTACTTAGGAGTGTGATTACTGGCTTGATTGCCTTCTCCCCCTTTTGATTCCCCTTTTTCTCCCCTAGGTCACCTCTATCTCCTCCCTCCCCCATCTCATCTCTACTAAATTCTGTGAATCTTGTAGGGTATTGCGGGCTGTGGAGAACACTTAGGGAACTGATTACTGGCTAGATCTGTCTCTCTCCTTTTGAGCCCCCCTTCTTCTCCTGGTGACCTCTATCTCCTTCCTCCTTCTTCTCTTCTCATTGTAACTCTGTGAACCTCTCTGGATATTCCAGGCTGTGAAGAGCACATAGGGATTTGATTACTGGCTAGATTGCTCTCTCCCCTTTTGATTCCCCCTCTCCTCGTCCTGGTCAACTTTATCTCCCTCTTCCCTCTACTCTTCTCTATGTAACTCCGTGAACCTCTCTCAGTGTTTCAGACTGTGGAGAATCTTTTCTCCATTAACCTAGATGTTTAATCATCAGTGCTGTATGGATGGAGAAGTCTTGAGGCTACTGTAAGAATAAGACTGAAAACCAGAGGCAAGAGGCTTAAATCCAAAACCTGAGAACACCAGAGAACTCCTGACTCCAGGGAATATTAATCGATAAGAGCTCATCCAAAAGCTTCCATACCTACACTGAACCCAAGCTCCACCCAAGAGCCAAGAAGTTCCAGAGCAAAACATACCACCGAAATTCTCCAGCAACACAGGAACATAACCATGAGCTTTAACATACAGGCGGACCAAAAGAAAGCAAACTGATAAACATCTCAAAACTCACTACTGGACACTTCATTGCACTCCAGAGAGAAGAAATCTAGCTACACCCACCAGAACACCGACGCAAGCTTCCCTAATGAGGAAACTTTGACAAGCCACCCATCCAATCCCACCCTCAGCGAGGAACCTCCATGATAAAAAGGAACCACAAACTGCCAGAATACAGATAGGACACCCAAAACACAGCAATCTAAACAAGATGAAAAAGCAGAGAAATACTCAGCAGGTAAAGGAAAATGATAAAAGCACACCAAACCAAACAAAAGAAGAGGAGATATGGAGTCTACCTGAAAAAGAATTCAGAATAGTGATAGTAAGAATGATTGAAAATCTTGAAAACAAAATGGAGTTACAGATAAACAGCCTGGAGACAAGGATTGAGAAGATGCAGGAAATGTTTAACAAGGACCTAGAAGAAATAAAAAAAGAGTCAATCAATAATGAATAATGCAATAACTGAGATGAAAAACACCCTGGAGGTAACCAACAGTAGAATAACTGAGGCAGAAGATAGGATAAGTGAGATGGAAGATAGACTGGTGTAAATAAATGAAGCATAGAGGAAAAAAGAAAAAAAGAATTAAAAGAAATGAGGACAAACTCACAGACCTCTCGGACAATGTCAAACACCCCAACATTTGAATCTTAGGAGTCCCAGAAGAAGAAGACAAAAAGAAAGACCATGAGAAAATACTTGAAGAGATAATAGTTGAAAACTTTCCTAAAATGGAGAAGGAAATAGCCACCCAAGTCCAAGAAACCCAGAGTCCCAAACAAGATAAACCCAAGGCAAAACACCCCAAGACACATATTAATCAAATTAACAAAGATCAAACACAAAAACAAATATTAAAAGCAGCAAGGGAAAACCACAAATAACACACAAGGGGATTCCCATAAGGATAACAGCTGATCTTTCAATAGAAACTCTTCAGGCCAGAAGGGAATGGCAGGACATACTTAAAGTGATGAAAGAAAATAACCTACAGCTCAGATTACTGTACCCAGCAAGTACCTCATTCAAAAATGAAGGAGAAATCAAAAGCTTTGCAGACAATCAAAAGCTGAGAGAATTCAGCACCACCAAACCAGCTCTCCAACACATGCTAAAGGATCTTCTCTAGACAGGAAACACAGAAAAGGTCTATAAACTCGAACCCAAAACAACAAAGTAAATGGAAATGGGATCATACTTATCAATAATTACCTTAAATGTACATGGGTTGAATGCCCCAACCAAAAGACAAAGACTGGTTGAATGGATACAAAAACGAGACCCCTACATATGTTGTCTCCAAGAGTCCCACCTCAAAACACGGGACACATACAGACTGAAATTGAAGGGCTGGGAAAAGATATTTCATGCAAAAGGAGACCAAAAAAAAAGCAGGAGTAGCGATACTCATATAAGATAAAATAGACTTTGAAATAAAGGCTGTGAAAAGAGACAAAGAAGGACACTACATAATGATCAAAGGATCAATCCAAGAAAAAGATATAACAAGTATAAATATATATGCACCCAACATAGGAGCACCGCAATATGTAAGGCAAATTCTAACTAGTATGAAAGGGGAAATTAACAGTAACACAATAATAGTGGGAGACTTTAATACCCCACTCACACCTATGGAAAGATTTACTAAACAGAAAATGGACAAGGAACCACAAACTTTAAATGATACAATGGACCAGTTAGACCTAATTGATATTTATAGGATATTTCACCCCAAAACAATGACTTCATCTTTTTCTCAAGTGCACACGGAACCTATTACAGGATAAATCACGTCCTGGGACATAAATCTAGCCTTGGTAAATTCAAAAAAATTGAAATCATTCCAAGCATCTTTTCTTATCACAATGCAGTAATATTAGATATCAATTACAGAGAAAAATAATTAAAAATTCCAACATATGGAGGCTAAATAACACACTTCTGAATAACCAACAAATCACAGAAGAAATCAAAAAATAAATCAAAATATGCACAGAAACAAATGAAAATGAAAACAAAACATCCCCAAACCTATGGGACTCAGTAAAAGCAGTGCTAATGGGAAGTTTCATAGCAATACAAGCTTACTTCCAGAAAAAAGAAAAAAGTCAAATAAATAACCTAACTCTACACCTAAAGCAACTAGAAAAGGAAGAAATGAAGAACCCCAGGGTTACTAGAAGGAAAGAAATCATAAAAATTAGGGCAGAAATAAATGCAAAAGAAACAAAAGAGACCATGGCAAAAATCATCAAAGCTAAAAGCTGATTCTTTGAGAAGATAAATAAAATAGACAAACCATTAGCCAGACTCATCAAGAAGCAAAGGGAGAAGAATCAAATCAACAAAATTAGAAATGAAAATGGAGAAATCACAGCAAACAAAACAGAAATACAAAGGATCATAAGAGACTACTATCAGCAACTGTATGCCAACAAAATGGACAACTTGGAAGAAAAGGACAAATTCTTAGAAAAGTATAACTTTCCAAAACTGAACCAGGAAGAAATAGAAAATCTTAACAACAGACCCATCACAAGCATGGAAATTGAAACTGTAATCAGAAATCTTCCAGCAAACAAAAGCCCAGAACCAGACGGCTTCACAGCTGAATTCTACCAAAAATTGAGAGAAGAACTAACACCTATCATACTCAAACTCTCCCAGAACACTGCAGAGGAAGGTAAACTTCCAAACTCATTCTATGAGGCCACCATCACCCTAATACCAAAACCAGACAAAGATGCCACAAAAAAAGAAAACTACAGGCCAATATCACTGATGAACATAGATGCAAAAATCCTTAACAAAATCTTAGCAAACAGAATCCAACAACATATTAAAAACATCATACATCATGATCAAGTAGGCTTTATCAGAGGGATTCAAGGATACTTTAATATATGCAAATCAATCAATGTAATACATACATTAACAAATTGAAAGATAAAAACCATATGATTATCTCAATAGATGCAGAGAAAGCCTTTGACAAAAGTCAACATCCATTTATGATAAAAAAAATCCTCCAGAAAGCAGGAATAGAAGGAAAATACCTCAACATAATAAAAGCTATATATGACTAACCCACAGCAAATATTATCCTCAATGGTGAAAAATTAAAAGCATTTCCCCTAAAGTCAGGAACAAGACAAGGGTGCGCACTCTCACCACTACTATTCAACATACTTTTGGAAGTTTCAGCCACAGCAATCAGAGAAGAAAAAGAAATAAAAGGAATCCACACTGGAAAAGAAGAAGTAAAACTCGCACTGTTGCAGATGACATGATCCTCTACATAGAAAACCCTAAAGACTCCACCAGAAAAATACTAGAGCTAATCAATGAATATAGTAAAGTTGCATGATATAAAATTAACACACAGAAATCCCTTGCATTCCTATACACTAACAATGAGAAAACAGAGAAATTAAGGAAACAATTCCATTCACCATTGCAGTGAAAAAATAAAATACTTAGGAATAAATCTACCTAAAGAAACAAAAGACCTATATATAGAAAACTACAAAACACTAATGAAAGAAATCAAATAGGACACAAATAGATGGAGAAATATACCATGTTCATGGATCAGAAGAATCAATATAGTGAAAATGAGTATACTACCCAAAGCAATCTATAGATTGAATGCAATCCCATCAAGCTACCAATGGTATTTTTCACAGAACTAGAGCAAATAATTTCACAATTTGTATGGAAATACAAAAACCTCAAATAGCCAAAGCAATCTTGAGAAAGAAGAATGGACCTGGAGGAATCAACCTGCCTGACTTCAGACTATACTACAAAGCTACAGTCATCAAGACAGTTTGGTAGTGGCACAAAGACAGAAATATGTCAGTAAAACAAAATAGAAAGCCCAGAGATAAACCCACACACCTATGGACACCTTATCTTTGACAAAGGAGGCAAGAATGTACAATGGAGAAAAGACAATCTCTTTAACAAGTGGTGCTTGGAAAACTGGTCAACCACTTGTAACAGAATGAAACTAGAACACTTTCTAACACCATACACAAAAATAAACTCAAAATGGATTAAAGATCTAAACATAAGACCAGGAACTATAAAACTCCTAGAGGAAAACATAGGCAAAACACCTTATGACATAAATCACAGCAGGATCCTCTATGACCCACCTCCCAGAGTAATGGAAATAAAAGCAAAAATAAACAAATGGGACCCAATTAAACTTAAAAGCTTTTGCAAAACAAAGGAAACTATAAGCAAGATGAAAAGACAGCCTTCAGAATAGGAGAAAATAACAGCAAACGAAGCAACTGACAAAGAACTAATCTCAAAAATATACAAGTAACTCCTGCAGGTCAATTCCAGAAAAATAAACGACCCAATCAAAAATGGGCCAAAGAACTAAACAGACATTTCTCCAAAGAAGACATACAGATGGCTAACAGACACATGAAAAGATGCTCAACATCACTCATTAGCAGAGAAATGCAAATCAAAACCACAATGAGGTACCATCTCACGCCAGACAGAATGGCTGCTATCCAAAAGTCTGCAAACAATAAATGATGGAGAGGGTACAGAGAAAAGGAAACCCTCTTATACTGTTGGTAGGAATGCAAACTAGTACAGCCACTATGGAGGACACTGTGGAGATTCCTTAGAAAAACTGGAAACAGAACTGCCATATGACCCAGCAATCCCACTGCTGGGCATACACACTGAGGGAACTAGAATTGAAAGAGACATGTGTACCCCAATGTTCATTGCAGCACTGTTTATAATAGGCAGGACATGTAAGAAACCTAGGTGCCCATCAGGAGACGAATGGATAAGAAAGCTGTGGTACATATACACAAGGGAATATACTCAGCCATTAAAAGGAATACATTTGAATCAGTTCTAATGAGGTGGATGAAACTGGAGCCTGTTATCCTGTTATACAGAGTGAAGTAGTCAGAAAGAAAAATGCCAATACAGTATACTAATGCATATATATGGAATTTAGAAAGATGGTAATGATGACCCAACATGCAAGACAGTCAAAGAGACACAGATGTATAGAACAGTCTTCTGGACTCTGTGGGAGAAGGCAAGGGTGGGATGATTTGAGAGAATAGCTTTGAAACATGTATATTATCATATGTGAAACAGATCGCCAGTCCAAGTTCCATGCATGAGACAGGGTGCTCAGGGCTGGTGCACTGGGATGACCCTGAGGGATGGGATGGGGCGGGAGGTGGGAGGGGGGTTCGGGTTGGGGAACACATGTACAGCCATGGCTGATTCATGTCAATGTATGGCAATAACCACTACAATGTTGTAAAGTAATTACCCTCCAATTAAAATAAATTAATTAAAAAATAAATAAATAAAACTAATTTTATAACTGCACACGTTTTAGAAAAATCTGTAATGGAAAAGAAGAGCTAAGAAACTAAAGTTACTCTTTTCCAAAATGTATTTAAAGGCTCTCAAAGACAGTTTTTCATTTTCTCATAACAAAACACTTATAAAAGCTGGTTTTGGGTAAATTTATAAAATATCCTCTGTATCAAAGGACACATTCTGATGGATTCTTGTTACAACTCAATAGGTAAATCACACATCACCATTCTATTTTTGAAGTGTTCAAAAGAGAAAAAAATAAATAAATGCAAAGGCAAGAAAACTATTTTTTAAATTCAGTCAATGAGGATTTTAGGTATTTTTGAGTTAAAGACAAAGATCATGAAGAATTTAGGGAAATAAAGGAATTTATTCAAAAACCCTTTCTAAATCCATTTGTAAGGGAAAAATGGGGAGTCTGTCTTACATCAGTTTTAAAAAGGTTTACAGTTTGCAAAATGTTCAATATTTCTAAAAATGCTTTCCTAAACATTTGATTGTATGTTATTGATCTACCATGAATTGTTACTTTCCAGGGATTGTGACAAGCTACACAATTTTATACATCCAGTTTATCTTGCATAATAGTCAGTTTATGAGATAGCTCCCACTCAAACATCTTGCTTGTATGAAGGATCCATTTAGAGGACTCAAAAACTGACATGGGCTCTTGTTAAGAGTCTCTTCCTGTAACCCAGTTAATGTAATTGATATCTAAAAGAACAATTTTAAACTTTTAAGTTTATGGTTCTGATCTTACATCACCAGCATGCTAGCAAAGTTCCTTTTAGTTCTCCACTGCACAGTTAATGTAAATATAACAATAGAGACGTATTTTACAGGATTAAATATAAAATTCTGTATGCACCAAAGAAAAGAAAAAGGAATGTCACACAAAATAGGTAGAGGAAATTAAAAATTGATAATAAAGAAGGATATATTCCTTACTCTGAGATACAAGTAGGAAAAACATTGTTTCATTCACATTCTTCTAATATCCCACAGTCCATCAAATGCACCCATGTATAAAATAAAAGCATTGCTCTGACCTCACCACTGGTAGCACCATTCTCTCCACATCCACAGTAAAAAGGGAAACTAAAGAAACCTATGAAGCCAAATCACACTAAACACATAGGGAAGATCCTGAATCTGAGAACAAGGTATTAACATTTCCTATGATATAAAGTTTTAAAACAATTTACTTTCACTACAGTATCTCCTAAAGCATACCTTCAAATTTTTTCAGCATATCCTGTAATTCATTCCTGTAAAGAAATCACATAAACTTTTAAATTAAGGGTACCTAAAACACCATACTGGTTTTGGAAGAAACGTGTCATGTGAAGTGTTTTACATACAATACTTGCTACAGGAGCCCACCTTTACTTTTCTTAAAGTACCTTATAAGGCAAGCCCAAATTCCTTTATACATGTTACCTCACATCTTCCATAAATGCTGCTTGCGAAGGACTTTCTTCTTCATGGATATCAATCACTGAGCTGTTTGCTGCACAGAAATAAAATGGGAAAAGGTTTAAGACTGACATATGGCATTTTGGTCAGGTTTCCTGAAGAAACAGCTGCACTGTGGAAGGTTCCAGGATTTGCACCAACAAAAACGTCTTAAAGCAGACATCTCAGAGGAATCGTGTATGTGAAGGTCAGATGAAGTTAGCTCAGGGACCAGGACCACTTTTTGGAGACAGCATTACAAGCCTTTCAGGGTTCACCAGCAGCGGGAAAAAAAAACATGTAGCACTCCGGGAAATGATTCAGAAAGAAGGACGTGCAAGCTGTTATGAAGGAGAGCTGCTAGGAAGCTTACAGGGCAGTCCCAGTTTGGGATATGAGGCTGAATTGGGCAGCCTCCGGTACATGACACAGCTAGGCACACACATGGCTTTCCATGCTTACTATGTGGAGGACTGGGAAGCAATGACCCAAGGGACACTGCCCATCCCCCGCCCCCATTACTCTGCCCTCGCCCATGCGCTGTGATCTGCAAAGGTTTACGACAGACCATACCTTGGCAAACACTCTCTGGCTCACTCAGCTCTCTTCTCTCTTGATTCCCAGAGTCACAGGCTGCCATATCCTGAGCCTCCATCGGGGCATCCTGAGTCTCCTTCGAGGCATCCTTAGCCCTCCTGAGACGCTTCCTCCAAGGCCTCTCCATCTACTCGCGTCTTCTGAGGTACAGACAGCACGCCTGCATCGTGGGAGCACAAATGTAAAGACACAGATGGCCCCAGGGTCAACGAGCAATGGCCGGCACGGGTCCTCCGCGGCAGATCAGGGTGTGTGCTTCCTCCTGTCCCTTGTTGGACCAGGAGCTGATGAAGCACGCAGTGATCATGACCCCCTCCCCCCAGCACTGCAATGGAGGACTGGCTCCTGCACCGCCCCTCACAGCCCCGTGCTGCCCACAGACATTTGTCAAGACCCTCTGGGGACAGAGTGTCAGGATCCCACGTGGGGACAGAGGCTGACCCCTGCGCCTTGCGTCCCCAAGGATCAGGTGTTGGGCAGGGAGGCCCGATCACAGGCAGGACAAACCTGAGTGTCCCTCCATAGGGGTGGGGAATAAACCGTTCAGCACCTGTCCAGGCACAGTTGGGTTGGGGGCCTTCCCGACACGCCATCTGGACCCCACGATGACCTCAGGGCACTGGCCCATCCTTCCTGCCCGGTAGGAAGGGCAGACCTGGGTGGATGATGCTTGCCCACCTTCTGAGACTCTAATGGGTTGTGGGGACTGACAGCTCTCCCCAAACCCCGCCTGCTGGCCCAGCCCTCGGGGTCCTCCTTCTGCCTGGCTGGAGGCTGAGGGGAAGCCTTGGGGACATCCCCTCAGAGGCCAGCCTGGCTGCCACAGCCCCACACTCTGGTTCCTTCAAGTCTGAGAAGATGGCGCCGCCCCTCCCCCAGCCCTGCTCACGGTCACGTGGTGCCGCCGGCCTCCCTGAGGGTCCCTCTGTCCCCCTCTTGGATCCCTCCGCCTGTCCCTCCCTCCCTCCATCCTTCATCCACACAGGGTGAGCTCCTCACCACAATCTCCAAACTGTGAACCTCACACCGCATACGCGATGCTCCTCTCAGGACCTCGGGACAGCCGGGAAGCAACCGGCCTCTCCTCTGAGAGGGAGCAGCGCCAATTGGCCGGCACAGTGCGCATGCGGGAGGCGGGGCCTGGGCCTCACCCCGCCCCTTACAGAACAGCTCTCGGGGCGGGGCGGGGCGTGCTCAGGCTGGGGACCCACGCTTCGGCTCTCCAGGTTCTGCCTGCCGAGGACACTGCCCTTGCGGGCCGTTTTCCTGGGAAATCACAGAAGGCCAGGGGAGTGAGGAACAGGTGCTCCAGCCTCCGCCCGCCTGATGAAGGAGCATTTACCAACTCCTAGTCACTCTCCTCCTGGTTTCCGTTCCACTCACTCCCTTCCGCTTGCAGATGAAGAGCCATCCTCCAGGGTGTCTTGTATAAACCACAATCCTCCATTTTCAGGTTTGGATTTTCCTTTCTTTCTTTTTTTTTTTTTAAAGACACTGTTACCTAATCCTTAAATAGCCTTGCTTACTTATGTTGTCTGCAAATCACCATCAATTGTATCAGGTTCTCTGTGGTCTTCCGCCACTTCCTCTTTGCATCACTCGACATTGTGGCAGTATCAACCAGTATCTACAGTGTGACCTGTCTCCACCGGGCTTTCTCTTTCCCTGCTCTGTCATGTACCCTTGTGGAGCCATGCCTCCCTTTGTCCCTCCATTTTTCTTCTTGTCCCTGGACATCTGCATGCTTTCCACTTGAGAGCCCTTCAGAGCACCGATGCAAGCAGTGTTCTGGTGTCTAGCCCAAGTGCAATACGCATTTCAGTGTTTAAGGGAGTGGGCTGGCTAGGTCATAGGCTCACTGAGTGCAGGTAAAGTGTCTCCATCTTCTGCCTCCACCAGTGGGTTTAGTCTATTGTTCCGTGATCTCACCGAATACTTGATGGAGTCAGGTTTCTTGCCTGTTGCCACTAGTGGGTGTAAAATTACATCTGGAAATATCTTCCTTTACATGTCTGCAGTCGCTCATAAGGTTAAGCTCCCGTGTGTGTGTCTGTGTGTGTGCATGTGGGTGTGCTTATTGGTCATTTAACTTTCCTTTTCTGTGACAGATCTCCTGGCAATCGTGACCTTTAATCATTTGGATTGGATGACTTCATTACAGATACATGTAGAAGCTTTTCACATATTCCAGATTTCAGTTTTGTGACATTGCCTTTTGATTTTAATAAAACATTAATAGTTCACATTTTACTTTGTTAGCCATTTTTAGGTATAGCGTTCAGTGTCATGAAGTGACACCACAACTTCTGCCTTTAGGATTTGTTTCTTTCCAAACTGAAACTCTGTACACATTAAACACTTATTGTCAAACCCCTCCTCCTCCCAAGCCCTGGCAACCACCATTTTACTTTCTGTCTCTGTAAATGTGCCTACTCTGGATACTTCATATATCCACTATTTATATTTTATGGCCAGGATATCTCACTGAGCATATCTTTGATTTCATCCATATTGTAATGCATGTCAGAATTCCTTTCCTTTTTAATGGCAAAGAATAATCATTGTTGGTGTATATCACATGGTTTCCTTATTCATCTGTTGATGGACAAATACTAATGCTGTACAAGCACAGGCATACAAGTGTCTCTTTGAGTCTCTCATTTCACTTTTTTGGGTATATACCCAGAAGTGGTATTTCTGGATCAGATGGTCATTATAGTATCAATTTTTTGAGTAACTGCATGCTGTTTTCCATAAGGGTCACACCATTTTACATTTCCAACAGTGAAGCACAAAGTTTCCAATTTCTCCACATCCATGCCAACAGCTGTTATTCTGTGGATTTCTGGTAACAGGCATCCTGATGAATGTGAAGTGTGATTTTGAATTGCATTTCCCTAATCATTAGCCATATTGAGCATCTTTTCATGGGCTTATTGGTCATTTGCACATTTTCTTAAGAGAAATGTCTTACTGAAGTCACTTGCCAATTTTTATTCATGTTGTGTTGTTGCCATGGTGGTGGTAGTAGTTGAGTTGTGGGAGCTCTTTATGTATTTTGGATTTGAATCTCTTATCAGATAGATTTTTGGCAATTGTTTTCTTCCATTCCATGAGTTGCCTGGTCTCTCTTGATAATGTCCTTTGATTTGCAAAAGCTTTGAATTTTGGTATAGTCCAGTTTATCAATTTTTTTTTCTTTTCCTGACTCCTGGGTCTTTTGAAATAAAATACTCTTAACCCTAAAATCATCAAAGTGTTCTCCTATATTTAATGAGAGTCATTTTAAGACAGTGCTTTGCCTTTTTAAGTCTTTGTTTGTGTAGACTTGATTTGAGGGCTGGTGTCAGAGATCTGATTGCTTGCTTTTTTTCCTCCCATGGAAAAATGATGGTACCATCCTCATTTATTGAGTGGTATACACTTTACCCACTACTAGCAATGCTATGTCTGTCATATGTCCAGTTTCTCTATGTTCCTGCTTCTGCTTCTCTAGCCCTTTACACCAGCCAGTTTATTTATCACGTGCCAAAACCACAGCTAGTAATTGAACGAAGATTCCAAGTTGGATCTGTCAAACTCTGAATCCTCAGGTATTAGCTACACTCTGATGCCTAAGACTCTTCAGTGATCCCTCCAACCCTCCACAAGAGGGTCTGCCCTACATATGAGGACCCTTGACATCTTATCTCATTTAACTAACCTTTTGTCATCTCCAAATACAACTTCCTGCAGTTTCTTCAGGCACATCTTTGCTATTTTGTGTCACTGGGCCTTTGAAGGAGCTCAGCCAACTCCTCTGTGGAATCTTGGTTGGCACTCCTTCCTTTGCCTACCACTGTGGCTTACAGCCTCTCTCCTCTCATTACACTGTAGGCCAGTCAACTGTGTGCTGCAGAAACTGTACTGTTTTGCCTCACTTTGACCATTAGGCTGGAAACCTGCCTAATTCTAGCAAGCAGATTTAGAATTTGTAATTTAAATAGATCAGTGTTTACCCATAAATAAAACCAACATTTCTGTAAGCTTTACTGCTTTTTGAAAGTATACAAACTCATGATTCATTTAATTATATTAATAATCCTCTGGAAGATGAATTAGTGTAAGCTCACTTTATAATTTGGGATACTGAGGATCAAAGAGTAGAAATATTTACCCAAGTTCATAGAGCTTCACTGTAGAGCTAGACTGTAGAGTGTGACTATAGACATGGAAGTCTTTTATCAAGTTGTCATTTTCAGTGTAAATTTCAAAACAAATTGGTCAAGGAAGGGTGCTGTCCTTGACACTTTGAAGTACAAGTAAAAGTTGTGAAATGATAAACCTAATGAAGAGTTTGTGCAGATCAGATCAGGTGAAGGAAAAGAGTTGGTTCTTGATAGAAGTTAGGTCAATGGTCCAGGAACCTGAAAGTAGAGTGCATTCAAATTTTCAGGGAGATTCTGATTCCTCATGTCTGGCACGAGGACAGGAATCTGGATTTGTGAGAAGCTCCCACAAGTGGTCGCTCTCCAGTGGACCACATTTTTTTATCTCCTGGAGAAGGAAATGGCAACCCACTCCAGTATTTTTCCCTGGAAAATCCCACAGACGGAGGAACCTGGTAGGCTACAGTCCACGGGGTCACAAAGAGTTGGACATGACTGAGCGACTTCATTCACTCACTCCCACAAGGGAATTGGATAATTAATAAGGATGATGTAAGGTAAGTGCTATGTCAGGTCCCGTATCTATCTCAACATTCTATCCTTCATCCTTTCACATTTACTAACAGAACTTTGACACCTTTGCATCTAGATGTGGGCACATGACCCAGTTCAGTTCCTGGGCTGACCGTGACACATGTCCCAGATATCTGTGATGGAACTTCTTGGAAAGATTCATGGATTGGACTGATGCAGTTGGCGTCCCCCCTTGATATTTTCCCTTTGTCCTGGCAGGTATATAGATAAAATGCTTGTGACTTTGAGACAGAAGCCAAATAAAGGATGACAGGTTTCCTTGAGCTGTAGCATCAGACCTGAGTTGCCTCTTCTTACTACATGTTAACTGGAATATGTGAACCCCTATTTATCCAGTCCACTATCTGAAATGAAGTCAAATGCAAACAATAATGACAGAGCAGTA